TTAATATACTATTATTAATATTTACTACATAATATTGATATATCCATTAATATACTAATATTGATATATTAATATAATAGACTAATATTAATATATTGTACATAATATTGATATATTCATTAATATACTAATATTAATATATTATATATAATATTTATGTATTCATTAATATATAAATATTAATATATTATATATAATATTTATGTATTCATTAATATATAAATATTAATATATTACATATAATATTGATATATTAATATATATTTTTTATAATTCAATATATAATATATTAATAATATATAATAACAATTTGTATGTTCTCTATTAATTTGCAATTTATATATTATTATTATATTATTATTACAATTATGAACACTTTGCAGTTGAAACTGCATAGATATAATAATTATAAAAAAGCTTTGTAAGCTCCTTACTAAATATTAACGCAAGTCAAAGTATGTGTATGTGTATGTGTGTGTGTGTGTGTGTGTACCTACACGATAGTAACTTTCGCGAATAACTCTCGCAGCTGCGACCACTTGGGAGCAGACACCTGCGAGTTATTATCACGGAAATTAGAACGCTGTTATTCGGTGATCAGATAACGCGACGCAGGATATTAGAGCTTAAGAGTATGTAATTATTAAACAGACCAATCATCGCGAATATATCCGAATTGTAGGAGGGTCCCTCGAGATGGTGCGCCTTTCGTTTCTCCTTCATCCCCATCACGAAGCTGACCGCCAGACCGAAGTACGCACCAAACGCGTGGACAAACATGCTGTCGCCGGCGTCAACTACCTATCGAAACAAGAGAAAAGTTTTCATTTCGTCTGTCCCGGAAGGCGTGTTCTCCAACCTGTAAATCGATTCCCGCGCATCGGCCGAAGACAATAGCGAGCCGTCCCAAAGCACAGAACAAATTTTCCCACCCCCCTTGTTCGGACTTCTCTGCGGCCCAGATGGACACTGGACACGATAATTGTTCGTTCCTTCCTTTCGTTCTTCGAAACTCTTTCGTGATTCTCATTTTTTTTTTCGACAGGTATTACTCGAAACAGTTGTAAACTGTAGTTGTTGTTTACATAACGACGCTGTTTTTTACATAATGATATTCCGGATAATTAATATTTCAAAAGATGGTATTTTAAATAGTAATATTCCAGGTAATAATATCTCAAATGACATTTTAAATAATAATATCTCAAATAATAATATTTCAAATAGTAATATTTCAAACGATAATACTTAAAATAATTATATTTCAAAAGATAATATTTTAAGTAATATCCCAAATAATAATATCTCAAATAATAATATCTCAAATAATAATATTTTAAATAATAATATCACAAATAATAATATTTTAAATGATAGCATTTCAAATGATATTATTATAAATAATAATATTTCAAATAATAATATCTCAAATAATAACATCTCAAATAATAATATTTTAAATGATAGCATTTCAAATGATATTACAAGTAATAATATTTTAAATAATAATATCTCAAGTAATAATATTTTAAATAATAATATCTCAAGTAATAATATTTCAAATAATTTCAAAATTCCAATTAAAACAAAA